TTGTATGTCTGTCTATAAATAGTCAACATCTCTAATATCTCGTGTGGTTTCTTAAGAACTTATATAAGAGAAATTGGGTTAGAAAAAACATTTAACTCGAATTCTCACAAGTAGACATTTTAACAAACACTTAATGTATGCAAATTATAAAAAAAGACTTTATAAGTTTTAAATAGTTATGTAACAAAAGATCCAAAGTGATCTATTATAACAAAAAATCCTCAATAAGTATCATATATCATATGTCACAGATTTAGTTGGTTTTATCTAAGTTATGCGACACTCTTGCATGTTCGTCCGTAAAGAGTCAATCTTTTTAAAATTTTATATAGTTTTTTAAGGATCTATAAAAGAAAAGATTAATTAAATGAAGTATTTAATTCAATATTCCATAAATAAATATTTTAATAAGTACTTGATAAATAATGTAAAATATAAATTGTAAGTTTTGATCGATCAAAGGCTCAGGATTGATTCCATATCTTATTGCATAACAATGTGATATATAAATACATAATAATGTTATAAATTCAAAACCCTAAATTTTAATCCAAAATCATAAACCACAAACCTTAAATCTCATTATAATTAATTTCATAAAATAATAAAATTATTTATTTATTTTTTTGGATATAGATGAGAGAATCACTTTAATATTTGAGTACTGAGTTATTTTAGGTTTGGAAGTCTTGTCTTCCTCGAAACAAAAGGCTTCGTGTTTCCTTACAGGGTACTATGTGCGTCGAAGTCTATGATTACGATGGTATTATACGTTAGAGAAGACAAAGACATGTTCTTTATCTGATGTATAGATGTCACTGACATGGAAGAGTGGCAACTGGCAAAAAGCTGATGGAAGAGTATCTTTTCCCATATGAGACACAGGCATCACGTCAACACTAGTGGATCAACCTGTGTCGGCTGAGCCTTAGCCTTACAAGTATGACACAGCAACAACTCGCTGCAGTACTCGGAGCTGCTTCCGGTGGGAGGTCTCTTCCCGGGACATGGTGGGTTTTACTTGTAAGAATGTTAATAGTTCTTCCTCATATGTACTGTGGTCTCTCCGAGTCTCGATCAAGCATTATGAACAGTAATATTCTTACGGGACTATTTCGAGAATTGAGGACCGACCAAATTGAGTGAACAAAACACTTTGGAGATGTGTTTGCAGGAGGAGGTCTTTTCCTTTGGACCACCGAATTATTTGATGTCCAGAAGAAGAAGCATCTAAATCATTTGGCTTCAACAACTCCATCTCCGATTCCGGAAGCACAATCATGATCTCCCACTATTTGCATGCACAATGCTTAATGATGAAAAGGAAAAGACAGATCAGAGTTAGCGGATGCTTTTATTCACTATTTCATCCTACAAAATATGTACGTTGGTATGATATGATATCAACATTGAGGATGCTATTTTTGATAAATTAATAATTTTATTATTAAATAATAATTTTATTCATTGAGATAAAATATATTTATATAGATTCGAATGAGAAAAATTTTTTGTACTCAAATCATGCAGGCGAAAGGAAGGAGACAGGTATTATCGGAAGAGTCAATGTGCAGTAGCCACTGCCTGCAATCTAGAAAGTAGAGCACAGAGGCCTCATCCTCATCCGATGATTTGATTTAAAATGTGTAGAAGATGACAATATCTTCTTTCCCAAATCCCTTTACTCGATCAAAAGGTAGAAGAGATCAATAGGGAGAGATATTGTTTGTCTTTAGTTATAGATCAATAAGCAACAAGGCAGAAGAGATCAATAGAGAGAGATGTTGTTCACCTTTGGTTGTAGATTAGTAAGAGGCAAGAGGTAGAAGAGATCATTAGGGAGAGGTGTTATCTGCCTTCAATTGTTGATCAGTGATTTGTGAGAAAGTGAAAGTCATCAACAGAATAATGGGATAATAAAAAAAAGAGAACGAGGAAGAGAAAATCTTGCTGAAGCAAGAATGTTTTGATACCATGAAAAATTAAAAAAATTTACATGAAAGGATGATTTCGTTTCTTGAACTAATACGCATTTATATAGATTTGAGGAAAAAAAAATTCTCAATCATGTGCTATAATCATACACATATATCATAGTAATTAGTAATTGATCCTCAATTCATGATTGAGAATTACAACATGCAAACTTCATCTAAACTATTTATCTTAAAACAATTATATTAAGCAAACTCATAAGCTATCATCATAGATAACAAAATCTTTAGTCATGATAATGAAATTGGAAAAAAAAAAAAAAAAACATAGCCACCAATATTTGATTATCACTATTTCATTGAGATACAAATATAAAATACATCAACTTTGGAACGATACAATAGTCATACAACACTCGTAATAAAACCTTTGAAACGATTTGCTTTAGCTCCATCAATAATTTTCTTTTCTCTCTAACTATTTCTCCATTCTTTACTCAAAAGAACATAAGTTTTGGAAACCAAAAAGGTTTCTTAACATCTTTCCCCTTTTTCTTTTCTTTTTTTCTTCTCGAGGTAGTGGTAAGTACGTCGATGGCATCTCTTCTCTTGCTCCTCTCCTTCGCTTTCATATCTTTTATCTACAATAAAGATTCAACTTGAGTTTTTCCAAGATCACAATAACTATAAAAGAATAAACTTAGACGTGAAAAGGATTGATAAAAGAAAAACATTCCTACCTCATAAAAAAAAACGACAAGATACAGTGTTAATGCTATTGCAGCCATCTCCTGTACATTGATAAAAATAAGTTTTGTCTCGAAGCTTTGATCCCAACTTACCCATCATGATAAGATTAGTGATGGATGGTGAACAACAAACACATTAGCACTCCGAAAATTAAAATGAGAAAGAAGCAAGAGATTAAGAGGAGAAAGGAAAGGAACAAACGATGTGTATGGTTGTAGGTTTGTCAAGCTATTTATAGTCAAACTGAATTCATTAAGGTTCATTCCACAATCAGTTGGGATATCTTTTTGATATTGTGTTCTCATCACATCTAATATTTTTCATATCAATGCAATATACATGAATCTTCCATAAACAAAGAAAAGCATATCTCAAATGAAAGCCCTGCATATATATATATATATATATATATATATATATATATATAGAAAAAATATCTATCTTTGATAAATTCTCACAATGCGCCGTAATTTTTAAAAAATTTCACAAAGTACTTCTTGTTTCGTAAATAATAATTTTACTTCTGACCTTCGTCGGACACACTTTTACCTTCGTCTTGTATCATCATCCTACGTTGTCTCTCCTCTCCTCTGTCCTATCAAACTTGTCATCACTTCCGTGATAAAGGTAAGGGTAAAATGTTCGAATGAGGGGATGCTTTACGTTAATCTCTCAAAGATATAGTTTTTTATTACGAATTGCTAAAAGATAATCTTACTTTCCCTTTTATAAGTGGTTTTGAAGTGTAGTTTGGCATAACTTTATTCCCATATATGCATGAACTATTCTCTGTTCTCAATTTCCGCAACTAAATCGATCCGATCAAGCCCCGATCCACTCGATCAAATCTATAGATCACTTTTTTTAGGCCTCTCGTGTTGGATCGTCCTTTCTAATATATATATTGTGACTGCTTTGTTTTCCATGACTTACTACTAATGGCCGTCAAATCTATTCGGTCATTTGTTTGTTTGATTGGTCGGATCCGATCGGATATGATTGTTTTGATGTTTTCGGGTTAACGGTTCGACTTTGGATTTTTATCGGGCTTAAACGATCCATCCAGTGATTCATAGACGTGAGGAGATGGAAGGGTTGACCATGTGATGGCCATCCTTTATACTTTGACATTAATGAAATTTTCTCCTCCATTTTGGTCCCACCAAAAATTAAATTAGTGAAAGAGTGTGCTTGTCGTTTTTTGGCAAGAGATTTATAGCTTAACTAAATTCGTCCAAAGTTCCTCCCACGATCTGTTTGGAATCTTCTTAATTTATGTCATATCTCATTCCATCTAATACTTCTTCTGCATCAATATAATAATATTCATGAATCTTCGTCAAACAACGACAAGAAATGGGCTAAAGTCATGCATATGGATCGATCTATGGATGAATACCGGATTTAAAATCCCTCTACATTTTACCGAACAAAATTCTCAAAAGTTTGGAATGTTATTTCGACCGGTGTTTATCGATCCGACCATTGTCCGACACACAAAAGGCAAGCAGCTTTAAGTCTGATACAAGGCTTACTTTTCAATAAAACATTAATATTCTGACAGATTTTGAGCTGTCACAAATATAACCTCGAGTTTGGATTTATTTTCTTTCTTTCTTTTTAATATATTTTTGGACAGATTATTTAGCTCTGTTGTCTAAAATTTCATATATCCAATCAATATGTACGTACCTATCCGAGTTTGGATCTTTGTCTGGATTCGATTGCAAGAGTATGTGTTTTCTCTCTATTGCTGAGTAACTTGATGTGTAAATGATATCAAACAATTCTATATCCAATAGTCTTATCGGATTTGAGATTTGTTAATGATAACTATTGAATTCAAGTTCAGTCATATGATATTATATCATATCACATGATATAATAATTTTTTTATTATTTATAAAGTTACAAGACTCTATTCTCTTGCATGTATGAGTGATACGTATTGTTTTTCTTTTAATTTTTTATGTTCGACACTGTCCACTAGATTAATGTCTTTGGATATATTGAGGATCAATTCATTGAGCAACAAATAATTTTTCCAAACCATCAAACCGACTGTAAAAATCATGGATGAATTTTCCTCCAAATTAAATCTTGCGGATGAATGGAGAAATAAATCTCATGACCATAAATATTAATATTAGAAGTAAACTTATAAAAAAAAAAAAAAAAAAAAAGCCCTGCACGAGACTACCCTCAAATGAAATGAATGGGTCAATCAATGTATACAATCTACTGCACCCATACCATCATTTTTCTATAGGAAATGGTTCATCCCAATTTGTGGAAAGTTGTCCCTGCCGACAACTATTTAGCCAATGCCACCGATTTCATTAGACATCCATGTGTGACAAAAAAGTTGTCCGAGTCGCAGATAATGTGATACATCTTTTTGAAAATAAGAAAGATGAGCAAGGTTAAACAGACCAACTATTTCTTGAACAACTTCCCTAATCTAAGACTTACCGGCGCTGCTTCCATACTGCACACAGAACAAGATAGCATGTCGAGTGGTGAGTTCTGCATGCAACCATTTCTCGAGCTGATCTGGTACCAATGAGCTACTCACACTTGATGGATCGATATATGTGGCGGACGAAAAGCAAAGCAGCACGGAAGCCAACCATCCCAAGCATTAGGAAAAACCCATAACAGATGCAAGCCATGTACCCGAAAAAGAAAGATGTCTGCATAAACCCTGACATGTCTGAGCGTGCAAAGTAATAGTAAAAGCAATACCCATATACAAATAGGCCAGTTGATCCTCCGCATAGGTAAGACCTGCATCAGGAGAAGAAGATGTGCCAAATTAGACCACTTCAACAGTTGAAGTATGTATTACACCAAAGTACTTCTCATAAATATGCCTACTGTTGATTTATACCTGTGGTTTTACTTGGGCACATTTTCAAAAGGCTAAACTCAAGAGTTGACCTTGGATATCATAATTTACTTTGTCTCACATGTATAATATGCACGTAAAAGTTGCAAGAATAAAATATATTGTTGTGTAATGTATACCAACCAGAGGTCAAAAAACTATCTAACTATATAAATAAACTCGATTATCCAGATGACTGAATATGTCACTAGGTAAAAGACACTGATGGACCAAGAACATCCTTGATAAGGGATGAAATATGCCAGAAATCTTTATCCTGGTAAATAAAGAGAAGGTCAGCTGAAATTTCACATGTCTACAAATTTCACATAGTAATATTTCATTTATTAATCAAGCCAAACAATTATCTGGAAATTCAGAACAGGAACAACATAAACCCTTTTGCAGTAACAAGACTTTTGCACTAGAGAAACCCCTTTTATTGAATTTTCCATGAATAGTAACTGAGTGGAACTTTAGAGGCAAAGAAAAACAAAAACCAGCAGATATATGAGAATAATAAAAGGGAAGAAAACAGCTCCACGAAAACAATACAAGTATTAACACGTGAATGAGAGGAAAACTCATATAAGTAGAGAAATATTTCAGCTTGTCAAACATGTGAAATTGAGATCATCAGAGATACCAGAATGATAAGAATCCAACAAAGCAACTCCACATAAAAATGATGACAAATTAAGACAGAGAATGAGAAGCGTGTTGCTAAATCCATTATTCTTTTAACAAAATCAGAGAATGAAAGAAGCATATAAGTTTCGAGCTTATATTTTTGGAATTACTTAGTTTTCGGAGAATACTAATGACTAATACGATGAAATAATTTGAAGGTATAGAAATTTCTTTTCCATGCCAAGTGATGGCACTTTCACAGAGTCCTTTTTAAGCAGTTAGCAGGTGGCTGTGCAACTTGTGTATACAAGCCTGTCTGAAGCAGGAATGAGAACAGAGGATGTTGCTAATGTAATAGCATAACCTCAATCAACTCCCGATACAGACACAAAATGAAAGATTTGTGCTTTCTATTGCACTATGCAGCATGGAATATTTCTGAAAGAAAATGTGAGCATGTGCATGATTTTATGAATGCAAATGGCATGAACATTTGGCTGAGGGAGTTAAAGCGAAGAAAAGAATGGCTTACCTCCACCACCATTCATGATCTTCAGAAGCTAGCTGAAAGTAGGTCAGTGCCACAGTGATGAAAGCAGTGACAATGAGGAGGATGATGAAGACTATAAAGAGAATGCTATATATGATGTAAATCCTGTGACCCCACACACTGGCAAATATGTAGTAAAGTTCAATGTAGATTGCGCTGAAAGGCAAGAAACCAGCCATTGCCATCTGTGGAATAGTTCTCCGGTACCAGGGTAACAGTGGGATCTCTCTAGGATACTTTGTTGTACGACAAGGGGCTTGAAATTCTGTTTTACCATTCTTCCCAGCAATTCCACCCAAAACAAGCAAAGGTGAAGTGACTAGTGTCCATATGAGAACAATGACAACGATAGTCCCAAATGGTAGTGCTGCAGTAGCACTATACACAATTGCGACTGTATTAAGGAAGCAGAATGTAAGGAACAGAGGCCCACAAAAGAGGAATCCAGTCAAAAGCACATTCCTTACCTGCACATACAATAAAGGTGAAATGTACAACCCAGCAATTTACATATTCCACAAAAGCACATTCCACAAAAGAGGAATTTACATATTAATGAACATGTGTATTGCATGTTCTGAAGCATGGATTAAAAGTGCCCAATAGTAAGACGAAATCATACAGCAAAGTCTGCCACAAACAAAATGCAGGCATTGACAAATAAAAGAAGAAGAATAGAGAAACAATGCCAAGGATAATAGAAGTACCCAATTCGTCCCTTCAAGTTGACAATAGAAAGAGGATGCAGTATACCCAGCAATTCCAGAGGTGAGTGCATAGACAACCACAAGAGCAGTAAAAAGTGCCCCACGATTGTACGGGTAAAAGACCCCAACAAGTGCTAGAATAAAAATGAACACCGTACTGCACAGGTCAAAATAAGTAAATTATTTTGATTTCAAACACAATAAACTTAAATCTTCGTAGAAATTTCAATATATATGTGCCAGTTAATCTACAATATCAAAACACCCTAAGAAAGAAAATTTTCAGATGGTAAGGTCAAAGTAGATTCTATTCTTCCTCAATTAATTAAGATAAACTTCATGAACACTACTCACAGGGCAAATAACTGGGTTCCGGAACCAAGACAAGCAGCCAACAGTGACTTATTCTTTGGAAACCTGAAGACATCACCATGGATATACTTCCACCCTGTCTCTTCTTGGTCCTCAGCAGACTCCTCATCATGGGCATACCTTTAACAAGAGCACAACAAACATGAACGCATAAATGGTTTTGACTCTATGGAAGACAGGAAAACAGAGCATAAGTTAATCCCCTCTAAATGAATGACTTAATATCTAGGAAATTACATAGAGTGTCTGTCAACAAATCCTTAAAACATCATAAGTTATCTACAGTACCTATCAAGCAAAACCCACAAAAACTAATACATATAATTTTTCAATACTTAGGAAATACCTACAAATAATGCTTTAGCTAATTATAATTTATTATACAATCTTTTAACTGCAATTCTTGTTTAATTCACATAATGTGAAAAAAAGAAGAGTTTGAACAGAAGCTTACTTAACAAAATCATTCTTCAGCACTCGCATGAGAATTGTGGCAAGAAATCCAGTCAAGAGAAGAACTGTGACACATGAATTTATAATTGAGAACCAATGAATCTCCAAATGATGAGGCAATGAAGAGGTCTGGGAGTATTTATTCATCCTCTTTTCAAATGGTGTGGTTGTCTCCTTCCACTTGACAGAATAAAAGAAACTCGCTTCAATATCCTTGTCCTCAGTGAGGTCTGCCAAAGAATTGGGATCTGTGTGCACAGAAATCTCAATCACATGGTCACTGTTGTAGAGGATATCAAAGTGGATATGCCTGTAGAGGTAGTACTTGTACTCGCTCAGATCTTTCCTTTCTTTGTCAACTTTTCCTATGAAACCCCAAATAGGGAGGTCATCATAATACATTTGGAAGTAGTAGTCCTTAGTGACTGCGCTCCTGAACTTGGCAACATCTTCTTTCGTGAGCTTCTTCTTGCAAAGCGGTTCAGAGTCACGATCGACGCGGAAGTCCAGCTTGTATGGGGCTTCAACAAGACGGTCCCCATTCAGAACTTCACCAAGTGCTTCTTTTTTCTCAGTTACATGCTCTGTTTACAACATGAGGATAAAATCAACAGGGACAAATGTAGAAGAGCATGAATGAGATGGATAGGTAAACTCCAAAACCCGGATACCAACCTGGAACACAGAAGGGCAGATCAAAGTACCGATATGTCTCGCTACAATGAAATAAAATCAACATAAGCATAAGGTCTAAAGAAAACAATAAGCAAAAAGGATTGAGTTTAATAACTCATGCGTCTAGAAGTGTCTCAAGGCTGTAATAAAGCATCCTTCATTCTGCAGACGATACGATCCCATCTTTAAAATTTTCAGCAATTTTTTCCAGAGCTTGTTCCCGTATGCAGGACTAAATGTTACTTTCTTCTTACATTATGGATATACAGAACAAAGAAAGCATTTGTTCTGCCAATAAAATCTCCTCACCACAACGCTGGATTGTGAAAAACATATAAAAAGAACATGAAGCTAGAAGAGTGATACGTGTGTACAATTATGACCTATTCAACATAAATCGAGATTCAAAGTCTCATAAATGAACAGTCTTTCACAGATCTGACACAAGTAACATCTAACTCAACACAAGTCACGTCCCGAGACGTCAAAGAGTCGGCAACTCTTGGACGACGGGAGCGTTTATACCCACGGAACATCTCAAACACCGGTCGGAACAGGAGAAAATGTGAGACAAAGGAAGGGAGGCAGAGGAAATCTCACCTAGGGTTGTGGAAAGGGCCGACCTTGTTAGCGTACAAAGGGACGGGGTCCCCCTGCTTGTAGCGGTGGTCGGAGGCGTCCGACACGACGCCAGTGACCCCGAAGCACAGCAGCAGCGCCGTCACCCGGATCAGATCCATCGCCTAGCCGCCCCAGTCCCCACCTCTCGCGTTCGGAGCGCTCAAAGTCCGCTCCAAAGGGAGGAAGGGGAGGAAGAAATGGGGACGACGGGGAGCAGAACCCTAGAAAGAATCGCCCGTCGTGGGTTTTCCTAAGAGAGAAAATGAACAAGACGGAGGCCGACGGACGGTCTCCCTTCGTAATTGATCGAGTTGAGGTGAGTACTGAGTGCGTTTGACATTGAAGCGTCGGTCGTCTCTTTATGGACGTACTTGCAATTGAAAGTTTGAAAAGGGTTCTTTCGCATATATAAATATATATATATAATTCTTTTTCGTTTAATATATTAATTTGTAGTTTTATAAAACTAATTTTAGCATACATGTGTGGAAATCCTGCCGTCCATCAGTCCTGGCGTGGATCATAGCATGTGGTGGACGTAGATCAAGCGTCCGGATGCGTGCCGTACAGTAACGGATGCGAATTCCTTCGTCTTCTTTATCAGCCTTCTCCCACCCAAATCATTTACATACCGACCGCAACTCCAAGTACGGACTTGGTGGATGGTCAGGGGTCCACCCAATTCGGCCATCATTTGGAGAGGGTATATCGACAAAAATATATTAACCAAGAGAGCACAAACAAAATGTTCTTTATCTTAATGACTGCAAGTCGATGCAAAAAGAAAGGTGACAAAGCCGATGACCTGTTCCAAATGTTTAGGATTATTAAGTAGAATTCGCCGTTGTAATCATCCAAGCCTTAGTATAAGTTGTTTGACCTACTTCTCTAAGGAAACCTCTCATCTTGTTGATGATAGATCGATCAGAAAGGTGATGCGTCCCTGTTTCTGCAAATAGGCCTTCCCAAGCAAGTTTATGCTCTCTAATGTCTGTAACTTCGAAGCCAAAATCCAAAAGCTGGCATAAAGAATAGGGGGTTCCTCTTGACCAATTCAACAAATAGTTAAGATCGAAAGATTAGAAATCAACCATAATTTCAAGTGACATTCAACAAAGATACAAAAGTAATAAAACAATCTCCAAACAGTGGCCTATAATCTGGCATCTGATTATTAGAAACACAGGAATGAATCATAATTACAGCAGCGACAATCTCGTCGTAAATCCACTAGATCCATCATCATCATCATCATCATCATAGTAAATCTCGGTTGTTTGTGTCGTCGAAAACTTATCTTCATCTCCCCCAGGATTGTATTAACCTTTGCGGTCGGTCCACGATGAATCATCCGCGAGAGACCTCGACGAGGATGAGGGCGAGGTCTCACCGCCGGGAGGCATGTCGGAGAGCAAGGCCAGCAAGCGGCGGACGCTCACCGAACGGGCCGGCCGGAAGCTGAGAGATCTCAGCTTCTGATTAGCGGAGAAGACATTGGAGGATTTAGTGAGGATGAGGTACACCAGAGCTTGAACTACCGCAAACACCACCACCTTCATCAGCACATCGCTCACACCATCCATAGCGATCGTCATGCTCGTGATCAAAACAATTGTTCAGGAAGAAGGGTTGCAGAAATGCGAGGTAAGTCAAGAGGATCCAACCAACCTCGTTATATAATGCGTGTGGCAGTCAATTCTTTGACTGCCACGATAGCAGTCATAGTTATCCGATGCGTGGATGTGGAATGAGTCAGCCATTTTGAGACATTGACGGCAAGAAATCATTGTGCCGCGCGGTGGCAGACGCGGATTACGTTGTGTGATGGGAGTCCCAACATTAAAACGTGCACGGCATCTGCGACGGAGAAGTGCACGTGGTCGTAAGCGTATGACAAGTATTACGTGGAGACAAGTTTTGCAACTTCTTATGTGGTCTCTCCATGGTTTACAACAGAGAAAGCATTACGTGGAGACTTCGCTGCTGCTTCCTCCGTAGTCGAAGGTTGCTTGTTCTTCTTCTACCAAGTCTCCTCCTTCTCAGCGAAGTAGAACTATGGCTCGGCTTGCAAGAAATAATGCTACAATTCCTAGTGGAGGAAGTCTGATCGCGCTGCGTTGTTATATATTTATATGCCATAATATATTTAAAAGACTAGAATACAACATCGTCGCTTTGGCCGAGTGGTTAAGGCGTGTGCCTGCTAAGTACATGGGGTTTCCCCACGAGAGTTCGAATCTCTCAGGCGACGAATATAACTGTATTTTGCCCCATTTCTGGGAGAGCAAATTGGCTCACTCTCCTCCTCTGGCTTCCTATCGCTTTCTTCACGTTTCCTGCCGGATCAGAAAGAAGCCCTAATTATCGCTCTGTCTTCAGTCTCTTTCTTTCTTCCTCTTGTAGGCGATTTTTGAGCAATTACACACACCACCGCATTGCTCGGTCGCCTCCAATCTTCTCGGTGGGGGATTGCATTAAATCTTGGTCAGTATTCTGCTTCATTTTGAGATTAAAAAAAAAAGACCTTTAGATGGAATCCGATCGAGCAAATTCTGCTGTCAAAATTGCTCTTTTTTCTTTTACTAACCATTTCACATCTCAGATTGAGGGTGATAAATGTATCTTTGAAGCTTTGCGTACTTCAATTAATCTCGCACTTAGCATGTATAATGGCTTTGATTAGCATGACTTGCTATCGAAAGTTTTGATAAAACCGAGTAATCTAAGATTTTTAGGATGAATTTAATGTCAACTTTATGACATCCACTTTTTACATTTTGATCACAGATTAGGTGGAGTAGAACAGACAACAATGAAGAAGACTATAAAATAAAATCTTCCTAATCTTTCGTGCAAAATGAGATCTTAATTTGACACAACCCCTACATTTAATGAGCCTTTCTTCTACACGTAGCCTTACAATCTTCTCTTCGAACCCAGCCATGAATTAACAAGGAAAATATTCAAAGAAGTCTAATAAACTGCATCAGCATCAGCAAAACTGATGGCTTACTATCTAGGTTTCAAAAGAGTGTCAGCTGGGAAAGATTTCGATAATTTATCATAAAATCTTAAATTTAAATATCATCTTCATCACTTATCCTTCATCAAAATAATAATAATAAATTATCTCGAAAATAAGATTGCTCACTCTCTAAATCATATGAAGTACATGATTCATATGTTGATTCTTCCTGATCTTAATCATCATGAACAGGAGGTTAGAATTGAACCCCATTTACTTGTATATTATTATTCTTGTGGATCATATAGATATTTTTTTTTTATTAGGGTATATCCTCTAGATAAGATAAGCTCAATGTATGCTGTGGGGCTCTTATCTGCCAGTGGCTATCTTTTACAGACAGATGTGGCTTTCTGATATTAATGTCAGTTTGTCGATGTCCTCTTTCCACAATATTTAAAAGTTAAACCCAACCTTCACCACTCACTCTGTTTCCTCTTCTTATTTATTGTCGACAGGAAGAACAGAGAGGTGTGAGAGATAGATGCATTGATGCATCCATCAAACATTAACTCAGTTCCAAAAGAAACTGGTCCTGATGTGTTCTTGGTCCTGCTTGGCCATGAGAGAGATCAAAGTAAGAATGGCTATTTACTTGGAATGCATGCATGATCGAATTGAATCCTTCCACACACACACAAACACAGGAGAAACATCACACAACTTGTGAGATCTTTGTGGATAATGTTGTGAATCTTTGGTGAGCAGGTCACAGCTAGTTGTATAATTTTAGTGCCTCCACAGATTGATAGGAATGTAATTTCCATGGAGACTATCCTTTATAATTCCATCAAAACAATCCATTCCACTCCCCTCTTTGATCTCCACCATCCACCTGTTTCTTTTTATTTTTATATAAAATAAATTGAAACAAGACAGAAAGATGGAATAACAATTATGATACAAAAAAAAGTTACATTTAATAAGCAACTCATATTATTTATCAGATCAACTTTTTAAGGGATCAATCAACCATAAACATCCTCCTTTGTTTCCATCACATCACAATTGGAGTCTAAAATCACCTCCTACACCTTTTACATGCCACAATTAATCTGCTAATTATCATCCCTCTTGTCTACCTTTATAATAGTATTAGACCACCAGTAAATTTGTGGCGTATATCTACACATGTATGTTTCAGGTACACATATATAATTAGGAATCTTTGAGATTCCCCCGGAATCAGGATACCGGCCTAACAAATTCTGCATCTTCGATGGGACCTACTTGAGATTTCGATAACAAGTGGAGAAGTGGCGTTTCCAGATTAAGTAGAACAGAGAGAGAGAAGGATCGGAGGAAGTTAGCGTGACGGTAGCAAAGAAACGGCTCGCGTTGCATACGTCGGTGAGATGGTGCGCGCTATCTATACCCTACATATCTACCCTTACCCTTCTCCTCCTCGGCGCCCTCTCGCCTCTGGTATTCTGGATCCTTGGTCATCAAGAAGAGGGAGAGGGAGAGGGATCATGGGGGGAGGGCGGGAGAGGAGGTGAGGGCGCCGCTGCTAGTGGCGGGCGGGGATCGGAACGGGGAGGCAGTTGCCTCCCGGGTGCCGCGCAAGAAACTCGGTGAAGTCGATGAGGGTCGAGTTCGTTGCAAGGCTGCCGGAGAAGGTGAAGAGGGGGGTCGACCCCGAGAGGCCCTTCGACATCGACGTCTCCCTCACCAAAGACCTCATCGAAGGTTCGTGTCATCCTCAACCACAATCCCCTCAGATTGCCTAACGATCGCATTCTCATTCGGTGTAAATGCTGTTGAATGATCTGATAAGTGATTCCAGCCATCTTTCTCGCCCATTCTAAGTCACCTGTGGCTGACTTGAGCCCCTTCGCCCGTGACACCACCCCACCCCCACCCGGCCCCCTCTTTTGATGGTATAATTTGTTGAAATTAATTCCTCTTTCTTTACATTGATCTGTCTTTCTTGTTTTTCTAATTGGTTTCGCATTCTGTTATATGATTTACGTATTATTTCGAGTTCTTGTAGAAGTTGACAGCCAATCTATGGAATCTTTTCTGTTGTTTTCCCTTCGAATCTTGAATCAAAATTCCCCAACTGAATCCTCTAAATCATATTATGTTCTTATTTTCCTTTCGAATCTTGAATCAAAATTCCCCAACTGAATCCTCTAAATCATATTATGCTCTTGTTCTTGACAATGTGTGATGGTGTTCAGATTTGATCAATCTTGATTTCTCCGTCAACTGGCATTTGAGAGTTCCCCTCTTTTGCTGAAGAAATATAAGTCTGTGATCGTGGTGAAGACACTTTTCCCTGTTTTAATTCCAGGGGAGAAAGAATACTACGAGAAACAGTTCGTAACCCTAAGATCCTTCGAGGAAATTGAGTCATTAAACGTGCCTAGCGTAGTTGATGAAGCTCTGGAACTTGAAGAGCAAGAACAGAGTGAGTTTGCCATGAAGATCTCCAACTATGCAAATCTTGCCCTCTTGGGATTAAAGGTGATTAATTCTCATAGCCTGATGTCTCAGATTTTGGCATGCTAGTTTAGAGTGTGTGTTGTGCGATTAGCAAACTGAATTGGGTCATGGCTGCAGATTTATGCTACAGTACAAAGTGGATCCATAGCTATTGCTGCTTCGACGCTTGATTCACTGCTGGATCTTATGGCGGGTGGCATCCTCTGGTTTACTCACCTCTCGATGAAGAACATAAACGTATACCAAGTACCTGATTGGCAAATTGCGCGTACGACCAGTTGGTATCGTCATATTTGCTGCTGTCATGGCTACTCTAGGTATATCTCTTTCCTCAGATTTGACTTTTGAATTAACGATATGACATTCTTGTGATTGAAACTTGGAATCTGATTTATGAAGTTCTTGTGTGACCGCTGGCTTTGGAATTCTTGACATTCTTGTGTTTTGACCTGGAATTTGCTAGTTGACAGTCTGATATGACTGCCCCTTGCGAAATCTAAGTTGGACTTTTTTTTTTTTTGGTGCTGTTCATGACCAGAGAAAAAGACTACAGTGTCTGTCCATAGATGTACAAGGAACGATGGATGTATGCATCAGAAATCTACCAAGCTGGTTACTACCTCTGTAGGTAGTAGATGTTGGGTAGGATGACATTCCATACAGATGTTTGGTTGTAGATGTCTAAGTAGCCTAAAATATTTAATCAAGATATTTAATACTAATAATACATTCATTGGATCCTTTACATCAATTGATGTAAGTGTTTGTGTATTTTTCAGGTAGAATTAAATCAAATTTTAATAATAATATATTTATCAGATTTTTATAAGTTAATTTAAGTTTTTATTTATTTTTAATGTAAAATTAAATCAAAACATTATAATATAAGAAAAAAAAATGATAGAAGTTACTACAAGATGGGAGAAAAATTATATTTCTACATATATTTTCTTTGTCAGGATGTTACATTGCTACCTAAATTGTTTCCATCAGGATTTCAAGTTTTCATTCAAGCCCTCGAACGGTTGATTGAGAAGGAGGCGTCTGACAACATGACCTCAGTACAACTGTTGTATTCGGATCATGTTGTCTGCCACTTTTGTAAAGCTAGCTCTGTGGCTTTACTGCAGGACCTCAGGGAACAAGATTGTCCGTGCCTATGCTAAGGTTCAGCTGTTTAGTTTTGTTGACATATGAAGCATCAAGTTGACTTCAATGGCTTTTTGATACGCAGGACCATTACTATGATGTCGTGACCAATGTTCTTGGTCTGGCTGCTGCTATTCTTGGTGATAAATTCTACAGGTGGATTGATCCTGCTGGGGCTATCGTTCTTGCAATCTATACGATTATAAATTGGTCTGGAACCGTCTGGGAGAACGCAGGTTTTGCCCTTTCCGAACCATCTCATCAATTTCTTTTGCACAAACAGCAGTTACATCATATTGATACTTTTGCAGGAGTTGCTTTAAACGTCTTTTACTGTCATATCTGGCATTATGTGTTGAAGCTTATTGGATTTGACAACTCATGACGTTAGGTTGAGATTACCGGATATATTTGGATGTTCACATTGAGATTTGCCATATTGAAATTTTTTTTTTTCTGGAATATTGAAGCACAGAGAGAGAGAGAGAGAGAGAGAGAGAGACGATAAGCAAAAAAGATATGCACGGGTTAATCAAATAGTACATTATGTGACCAATTATCGATGTCTTGACGTGTCGTACATTTTGAGTGTATTTAAAAATCTCTTGCCATTATTGTTGTGGAGGATCATCTTTGGCTAATTTGGGTGCTGCTTATTTTTTCTCGATTGCAGTCTCACTGGTTGGTCAGTCGGCTCCACCGGAGATGCTACAGAAATTAACTTGTGATTAGGCATCATCCTCAGATCAAACGTGTTGATACCGTCCGAGCTTATACATTTGTGGAGATTAGTCGGTTCTTTCTTCTGTTATCATCCTCAGATCAAACTTTGTGGAGATTAGTCGGTTCTTTCTTCTGTTATCATCTCAAAGAAAGCGACATCAATTTATTCATGGAGAGAAGGTGCTTCAACGACGTCATTTTCATTTTCTTCTACGTCAACTATTAATAATTTGCTTTCTCATTCATTAATAGAGAGGTGTTTCACATCGTAGCTATTTTGGTCTTGATAATATTTTCCGCTTGATTCCGTCAAGTAATTGAGCTTTGGGACTGCAGGTTGACATTGAGCTTCCCGAAGATTTGCCTCTGAAAGAAGCCCACGCAATTGGAGAAACCGTGCAGATAAGGATCGAGGAACTTGCAGAGGTTGAACGAGCATTTGTGCATCTTGATTTTGAATGCGACCACAAAACCGAACACTCTATTCATGCCAAGATGCCCAGGAGCCAACCTTGAAAACCCCCACCCCGCCCAGAAAGAATTATTTCTTTGGAGTAACTTACCAGGATGATATCATAATTTTAGAGATTTCTTGTTAAAGCTGTAATTTGATGGAAAATCTGAATTAATGATGAAAAATATAAATTAATGATGAAAAATCTGTGAATTGTCACTGCTAGTTGCAGCACGGAAAACTTGTTCCCAGGCTCTCAGTCACCATAATAGGTTATTACCAAATTCATCAAGTTTCACCAAAATAATAATGACCATACAGCACAATCCTTTTACCAGTGGAAGCTCCTTTAACTTGTCAGCAAAGCACTAAAATTGTCTGAGGTCCTTTTTAACTTCCAAAATATTATTCCTGAGTTACCTAGAAAGAACCATCCTCCATAACCTCACTATGATGCGCCTTCTCAAGAATTCGACGATAGACTGCAAATGATAGCAAATATCAATTGAAACTGATATTTTAGTGCAATTGCAAGATATCACAACAATCAAAACACTAACAAGCAAGATTCTACTTAACAAAAAAACACCAACGGAGAGATTTGTTTAAAGTTAAGATCAAACAATCACAGATCCACCAAAGAATCACAACTACACGACTAGACCAAAGAAACTTCTATGCCAAAGTATCTATTTTTGATAACTTCCAAGACCCATCCAAGCAGAAGCAGCAGACAAGCAGCAAAAGAAGGCCAACAGTAACAGAAAACCCAATCTAAGCATGCAGCATCAGATTGTATAATCCAGAAAACTTAACCTCAATGCTCCACTTAGAATATACATTTACTAATGGCGAACAACAAAAAAAAGAGTTTAGCCCTATTATGTAGCTATCCTGACCAAACTTTGAAGCAACCCAATCAACCATGAGGTCATAACCAAGGATTGCCGTTTCAAGTACTGGACCCATTTCGGTGATATGGTTGAACTAGTACACCAGTCAATATCGGTGCAAGAGTGTCGAACCATCGGTACGTATCGGCATTTCAAAAAGGAAAAGAAGAAGAGCATGGGTGGAGGAAGAGGAGGAACAAGAAGGAAGAACAGGAAGTGGTGGAGGAAGAATAAAAAAGAACGAATGCAACGAATGCAACGGCAATGACAGCAACAGTGGCATCGCGAACCAGCTACAGTGGAAACAACGTTGAACATGAGAAGAGGGCTTGCGAACGCTGCTACCGAGTTGGATGGACCCCACAACTATTTTTGTTTATTTTTTTTACTCAATTGGACAGGGCCGCCCGAAACGAGGGTGGTCCACGTACCGGTACATACCGCCAGTTTCATACCGTTTCACTATAGGAGCCATCAATATCAAGTTTCAACTAATAAACTCTAATTACTTAATTGCAGAATGAGAGTCTTTTAAAAGAAAAATGAGTCCTCAATTATGATATGGCTGCATGGGATAGCTTTAAGCCATCACCTTTTGCATTGTTGTTTATGATCCTACAAAGCATATTTCAGATGAAACTCATATGGTCTACTTTACTGATGACACATTCAAGTTTGAATAACTGTACACAAGAGCTACAGATAGGATTACTACTAAGCATCCACAGGCAAATTACATAGAAGCAGACACAAAGTATTTATCAAAATCCATCAGTATATTGTACATCAATGGCTTCCCTCACTTAAATTTCAGCAAGAAGAACAGGTAAAAAGACATTGCGCATGGAAAAGTAGGCTACTTATTGTACATGAGATGTGTTTTTCACCCACCTATGATCAGCCTTTTAAATAGAGAATAGAAGATACAGGAACATAGTTGTCAACCATGTTATGTAGTTCAAGTGAGAAATCTAGTCTAAAACATAAATGATAGCCTAAGTGCCTATGCAGTAATGGGATAACAGATGCAATGCAAGTCATTTCACAATTTTTGAGTCAGATAATACACAGATGCCATCAAAAAATTAATATGATAATATTTTCTAGATTTTTATACTAGGAGGATGGACATCTAGAAACACTAGGAACATATACAGTAGGTTACAACAATTAAACTCATAAATGCTAGATAACAGGGGTACGATATGTATCATTAATATTTTTACGTAAGAAATATATAAATGTATTTACTATATTCAAACAACAATACATAAATCCACATATACAATGTAATATTTGTATATGCACATATATTTCCAAGCAAGCAACAATACATAAATCCTTGATGTCTTGTGAGCTTTTACTATATAGGTGTCAAGCTAAGCACCTGCAGTAACTATAGTAATTCTACCTTTACCTACCAAGTTATTCAATTCTCAAGATCTAACATATCCAACAACCAACTGCAACTAGCAATCTAAATGATGATCTCATTGTGAAGGATTGAAGAGGAGTGTTGCACTTGTATGTCAATGGAGTCTATGCAGTCAAAAAAAATAAAGAACGAGGAAGAGAGAAATCAGTTGAAACTAGAGGCGAGAAGTGGAAAAGCTCAAGATCAATGAAACATGGATAAAAAACAGTGGTCAAATGGACAATCGGGCTATCATTAAGAAAGATATGACCACAAGATACAAAGCAATACGTGGCCATAAAAAAAAGTTAAAAGATATAAGCACCCCAATAAGAGTCCCACTATGTTGAAATACTCAAACACTTGTAAAATGTAACTAACAGGTGTCCGTTAGAAGATAACTGATCTCGCTTTATGGACCATAGGCAGAGTCTGATGATGGAAGAGTACCCATTAATCTCAAATAGCAGGAACGTTTGGTCTTCTATTGAGTAACTTTTCAAAAACCAGCAGACTCCTGAACTAGAAGAAATACAACCTTACTGTATTCTTGAACAATAGGACATGGACAGAGTTGGTTGACATATCTTTGCCATTAAAGAAACAAGTTCAGCAACTATGAAACTTCCTTATGGAATATGAACATAAATAACTAGAGACGTGACCAGCAGTTTAGAATTTCATGCCCATCGAGCACCTGTATATCATTCTATTATAGCACAAAATGTACTAATATAGTTTGTGTCACAGTTTTTCTACTCAATCCGGTAACAATTCCAGTCAGACCAAGCGTACTAAATGTAGTTCACATCATGGCTTTATATCTTCATTTAATACCAAACTGATACTTTGTCAGATCAGTATGGTTATCGTTTCCAGTGGTAAATCAACCTGAAACATCCAGTATCGCTGAAAAATAATAAAAACGAGAACCGGAAAATAGTGAACTATTGTACCATTCCTGATGAGATCAATATTTACCATCTATACGAGTCCCACCGGTATTTGAAACCACAGTTTGCACAATGCTAGACCCCTATCTTAATTGTTCAGGATAACCAAAATAATAAATCCATGTAGTCTTCTATTGATGTAGCCTTCTTTATTATTGTTCTCTTAATTCTCAAAACAACACAGCCCTATCACATCATACGTTTGGTCCGCAGGCATGAAAGAAAAAGGATACAAAATCCAAATAAAAGAATCTATATGGGGCACTAGCGTGAAAAGACTTCTGCAAAATATCATTAAGTGAACAATGCACAGATAAATTATTGGTAAATTCTACAGTGAGCAAAAGCTACAAGAATAGATCGCTGGCACATACACAAAAAGTGATTATTTAAAAGTCACATCCAAGATTCATCGAAATAATGCCACAAGACACATCAAGCAAGAACAATCAAATTTCAAGAAAACCATGAGGAGAAGCAATTTCACCAAATTTGATGCCTCGGGGGCACGGTCCGCACCTCAATCTTCGGATCAGACAATCAGCTAGCTTTGGGATCGGGCATCGGGAAGAGTCCGGCACCGGCCGCGCCTCTTGGGGGCGCAAAACCCAAGAACTTCTGCAGATTGGTCCGGATGCTTATAGAGCAGAGGAAGTACAGGAACACCATGGAGCAGTCGGTGGGATCGGTCCCGGGCAGACCGCGGTGGCTCATCTTGAGGACCAGCGGGATGGGAGCGAAGGGTAGCTTAGCCACCACGCGGCCCTCGAATAGGGAATTGAGGAGGCCGAAGACGACGAAGAGGACGGCAGCGACGACGGCGCCGGACTTGAACTTGGAGAGGGAGAGTTCGCGGGTAGCGTCCTTGAGGCTGGTCTCCACGCGGTCCATCTTCTTGGCCCGGGACGAAGACGACGACGACGACGACGACAAGGACGAGGAGGACGAGGGTTTCTTGGAGGAGGATGAGGCGGAGGTGGACTTCATGGTGTCGAGCTTCTTGGAGGCCTTGTCGATGGAGGAGCGAAGGGATTTGTATGTAGATGTGCGGTAGATCAGGAGCCAAGAGATGGCCTCGCAGAGGAAGGCCGTGCAGACGGAGATGCCGACCACCACGAGGCTATCGGCGTAGCGAAAGGACGAGAGGGCCGAAGACGCCGCCATGGCCGGCCCCAACCACCACCACCGACGTGCGGAGGTCTCAAGAGGGGTTGTTGAGATGGGAGAAGAGGCGGAGATCTGGGGCGACTCGGGCCGCCAGCTACTCCACTTGCGGGATCAGGTTTGGGTTTCTCCTCCCCAAAAAGCCTAACAAGAATTCGTTTCTTGATGCGCCGACTTCGAGGAAGACGAGGGCAAATAAGTCCAACTACCAACTAAGGATGTGGGAAGGGTTCGTGATGTACTAATGATGGGTTGTTATGGGGATCCCCTGCTCTCACCCAAGCAGGCTACGCCAGATCAGAACCTCTCTATCCCATGGTGGGCCAACCACCCCACTCCGGCCCGCACGTGATGGGCCGCGTGCATGGTGGTTTGGAGCAGCTATCTCAAGAGAGGGGCAGCGCAAGCGAAAACTAGCTCGAGGCATATAGTTAGCGATGTCCAAGAACTTATGGTTTGGAGCAGCTATCTCGACCTTGGAATCAAGAACTCCTTTATCGCTGCACAAGCCAGCCCTTAGCCACTCGAGCTGACCCCTGAAATCGATGATATCAAGATCGCCTTTCACTTCGCAACGCCGGATATCTAGAATCGCGAGACGAGGCGAGCCCGAGATCAGGTCACCGATCACTGCACCATCACAACTGACGTAACTGAGGCTAACCAGTTCAAGGGACTGAAACCAAGGGAGCTCAACGAGGTTGATGTCGAAGTATTGGAGCTTGAGTGATTTCAAATAAGTGCAAGAAAGGAGAGTTAAAGAGAGCATCGGGGTACTAATGTCAAGGGGACACAGCACCAGCTCCAGTTCTTGGACACTGGACTTGTGAGACGTCTTCGTAGAAGAAGGCAACGCGGAGTCTGCGTATGTTATGTGCCACGTAAAGTGAGAGCAGCTTGTCGACGAACGAGAAAAAGGGAGCCTTGATCTCGAGAATAGGGGTGACATCGAGATCAGGAAGATGGCTCCATAGATTCTGGAATCACCTCGAAACGAAGCTTGTTCTGTAGGCGTAATCGAGTGACAATAAGGAGAGTCTGTGAATCAACAAGCAGTCAGGCAACATGCTGATGCGATCGCAAGGGTTGAGAGAAGGTTCTCTTTTCTTCATGGTGGATGGTGTTGAAGTAATAGTCTACGAGGGCGATATCGGAAGGAGAACGGAAGAAAGAAGAAGAACACCAATCGATCAAAATGTAGACGGAGTAGCTTTAGGGTTAGCGTAACAAGCATATTACTTCTCCCCCAAAGAATGATCTGGCACTTTTTTGGATATATGTTGCGAAATAATCAACCTCAGCCCCCAAAATGTAGATGGAGTAGCTTTAGGGTTAATCAAAAAAATATTGATGTGAAAGATGATGACCGAGTCCCCCGCCCCTCCCAACCTTCGTCAGTGGGTAATAATGTGAGGACAATTACAACCTATCAACCTCCCATGGACAATAACAATATATGAAAACTCGATCGGTTTCCATAGATAATAGTCCACGGAAGGTCATTTGGGTTTGCACCCCTCTTAGTCGGCCTCCATGAATGATAGTCCATGAGAGGTAGTTTAGGTCTATATTTCTCGTGAGCAAAACACCAAAGGAAGGGCTTTACAATTATTACGTATGATTCTCTTCATCAATCAAGTATAAAAGTCAATCTTTGATACTAGCCTAGAGGCCAAATTCCTCTCTAAATAACCTTTTTACGTTATATGCTATTCGAGAATTAACTTGAGTATTGGAGGGTCATGGTCAAAAAAATTCTCTTTCGTAGTTGCCCTTCATATAGGAATCTACCAAAGAACTAGATTCCACCTCGGACACTCAAAAGCCCCCTAAAAATCATCACAGAGTAATCTTAGATATCTTCCTCAACAATAGTCTCATAAGACTGTCACGTGGGTTTCTCGGATGTCCTTGTACCCTCAAGTTTAGATTGAATTGGGCCGACTTATGGTTGACAATATGCTCCCCGTTCGATTAGGACACAAGTCTGGGATTTAGTATGAGTAAACAATTAGTGAATACATTTTGGAGAGAAGAGGTGTGTAGTTCAGTGAATACAAATATTAGGACATAACTCAGGTAGATATATGAAATCGACTTAAACCACCGAGGAGATATTACTGGTTGTGAATGGCACACAACTTTGAAGTGAAACCATTACAACATGTTCAATTCGCAGAATCAAAACCTTGGGGATTTTGACATGAGATGATTATTAGGACTGTTGGGATTTTTTCGCTTAGCATTTTAACTATAAAATTAAAACTTCAGAAAATATTCTCCTCAAATCATAACTCTACAGGTGACAGTACCGCTAGTAGGATCGGGTCAATAATTAGGCGATCGAGAAACATTTCATTTTTATCGTAAAATATTTTCACTCGTTAACTTGTAATAAACAAAATTACATTAGGCACCCACTCCTATTGGCTATTGATTTGTTTGGATAGATGGCATCGAGAATCTTATTTAACCTCAATTTTCATACAGATTAATATAGAAACCGAGTCTTCGAGCCAAACTCTTCCACACTATCAATTCTGCAGTTCAAATCTGAACAGAGCAATCAAGTACGTTGTACCATTGCGTTGACTTGATCGCTTCTACCCAGTCAGTCTCTTCAATTACCTTCGCCTGTTGCATATTGACAGTATTATGATTTCTCTATTAAATTGGTCGTTTCATAAGCTTCAATTGATTACCCCTTTCACTTGAATGCTGCCACACGAATCTCAGCGCCAAATGGATGGTGGCAATATTCTGTGTACACGGTTGACCAAGTCCTTCTCAGCACCCTACACCAAAGCCTCGACCACTAGTGGCACTATCGTAATTTCAAACATCCATCCTCGAAAGATCCCATGGATAAGCACAAACCATATACAACACAATTAAATCGCTGCTTGTGTGTATGAGTGGGAGTCTGCGATCGAGAGAGAGAGAGATGGGGGTAGTGATATTGGACGGGTCGACGGTGCGGGCGTTCGTGGGGGACGAGGAGGTCTTCAACCGGAGCGTGGACGAGCGGTTCGCGGCGCTGGACCTCAACGGGGACGGCGTCCTCTCCCGCGCCGAGCTGCGGCGCGCCCTCGAGACCTTCCGCCTCCTGGAGACCCACTTCGGGGTCGACGTGGTCACCCCACCGGCCGAGGTCGCGGCCCTATACAACTCCATCTTCGATCAGTTCGACCTGGACCGCAGCGGCACCGTCGACCGCGACGAGTTCCGCTCCGAGATGCGCCGCATCCTCCTCGCCATCGCCGACGGTCTCGGCGACTTCCCCCTCCAGATCGTGCTCGAGGACGACGACCAAGGCTCCAACCTCCTCCAGCAGGCCGTCGACCTCGAGGCCGCCAAGACCAAAGCCGCGGCGTCCGGCAAATGACCCCACCCCGTTACCGTCCCCTCCTTTCCATCGTCGTCTTCTTCTACTAAATATCTCGACCACAATAAAAGAAAGCAGCCACGTTTATTCGCCGTCCGGTCCCCACGTGTCGTGGGCTTTTAATTACTGTTGTCGTGCGTGTTACTATCGACGGTCAGATGGTGTCGGTCATGTCAGTCCGTTTTGTGTTTCGAAGAAAGAGGCGAATGGAATAAATTGGTGGGATATAAAGCGATACGCTATTTCCAATTGCATTGTAATATTCAATCTAAGATTAAATTAGACTGTCATACAAACAAGAACAAAAGCAAAAGATGCAAAAATATGATTGAATATTGTTCGCTCATACTCCAACATGCACTTTTGGATGCTCTGAACCCACTGGGAAACAGCTATGATGATGAAGAAGAGGACATTGGTTTGAAACAGGGGAGGGAGACCATTGTTTCCGAGAGAGAAGAATAGAAAACCTGTGGGGAGAAGAGAAAACCCGATAACCCGATTCTTGTTTTGATTTGGCCTCCAGGGTCCGGGTCTGAATCATGCTGGATCCGAATAGCTTCGAATCGAGGTTATTAACAAGATCATATAGACGAAGGATCGGCGTCCTGTTGCGATCGGATTCATATTGAATAACCGGGTTATCGGGTCCATTGACTCCTCTCGTTCTATTGTTTGAACCTCTCGTCTGTCATTTCCCAACCCATCCAAAGGATGCTATGGTCTTCCCGCCACCTCTCCTCCCTCTTCCGACGGTCCTCCTCCCTCCTCCACCTCCTTCAACTCCACTCGCTCATCCTCAAAGCCGCTCTCGACCACCGCCCATCCGTCGCTTCCAAGCTCATCTCCTCCCTCTGGCCTTTCTCCCTGGCCCACGCCCGCTCCGTCCTCTCCAACCTCGCCTCTCCTCCTCCTCTCTTCGCTTGGAATTCCCTTATCCGAGCCTACGCCGATTCCGATTCTCCCCAAGAAGCCATCCACCTCTTTTCAGCCCTCCGACGTGCAGGGAACGGGCGCCCTGACAACTTATCCTATCCGTTTGTTCTCAGGGCGTGCGGCCGTGCTTCCGTGCTGCGAGTCGGTGAGATGGTTCATGGGGTGGTCTTAAAGGCCGGGTTTTTCTTGGATTTATACGTTGGGAATACTCTTCTGCACATGTATGCTTGTTGCGGGGTGTCCAAATGCGCTCGTGAAGTGTTCGACGAAATGGGTGTTAGGGACGTCGTCACATGGAGCTCCATGATCCAAGGGTATCTTGCTTGGTAGGTATGCTCTTGTATTCAACCTTCGCTTTGATTAAAGTTCCTGAAGTATTATTCTTATAACCGGTCGATGATGGGCGAAATCCAAACCGGGGGACATATCATATTATCAGGGTTAAACCTGATAATTTCTTTTGAAGATAAAATCGTAATTAAGAATTTATGTTTGTGAAAATATTTGTATTCGAGGATACAAAGAGGATATTTCCATCAACACTCTTCAAAATATAACATATTTCTATATGACAACAAAAGGCATAATCAGATTATGGTCATTCAGTGGATGCATCTCTTCAGGGAGATGCATGCTTGATGTAATTTAATTTCAGTTAGTTCTTATGTAGACTAAGTTTTGGTACAAGTTATGGGTCATTCGGTGAGATATGTTTTGATCTCAAAGGGCATAGTTTATGTGAATCATACAATTGATGCATATTTTCTTTGAGTCGATTAGAACTAAAAGGCTTTTTTCGATCGGTGAGTTCAGATACATGGACAGAGCCCTGTCCCAATTTATAGGTGTGAGACAATGGTGTCTTTAGCCATCCAGTAAGCACCTTTGTTTTGATTCAATGATATCATGGGGTTTCAGCGTCATATTGTTTTTAGTTCTCTTTTGATCCCCCACCTAAGATTGGATGAAGCATATGTAGCATTTGACATGCATTATTTTCCTAGATGCTTCCTATGCTTTATCTCGCAATACCTATAAACCTCTATTCTTGTTTTTTGTTTATCCCTGTCTTTTTTCTTTTTCACAATAGTTGTCACAAATTCTGATCCTTGATGTTCTATTTAATTTACAGCGGCCATTCTGTTGAAGCTCTAATGGTATTTTTGGAAATGAGATCAGCAAATGTTAAACCTAACTCAGTTACTCTAATAAGCCTACTTTCAGCTTCCAGTTATTTGGCTAGTCCGTGTACAGGACGAGCAATTCACTCATACATAGTGGTTAACAACATCAAATTGGATGTTGCCCTGGGTGCTGCTCTAGTCAGCATGTATGCTAAATGTGGGCTCTTAGAAGAAGCCTTCCAAGTTTTCAAATCCTTGCAAGAGCAGGACTTGCAGTCATGGACAATTATGATCGCAGGGTTCGTTGATCATGGCCAATGGGAAAAAGCAATTGATCTATTCTCCCAGATGGAAGCTAGTGGTGTAAGACCAGACAGTACAATATTCTCCGTCATTTTATGTGCTTGCAGCCACCTCGGTATGGTAGATGTAGGCCAAACAATGTTTTCTAGAATGGTAAATGAGTTTCATATCAAGCCAACAATTGAGCACTATGGTTGCATGGTTGATTTGTTTGGCCGAGCAGGTTTACTAGAAACTGCTTATGAGTTCATTAAGAACATGTCGATTACTCCAAATAATGTCATATTGAGGTCCTTTCTCGGAGCTTGCAGGAAAAGCGGCAAATCTTTTGATATCAGTGACGACTTGCTGAAGCTTCTGCTGGAAGAGGAGCCTGACCTAGGATCAAACTACGTGATTGCTGCCAATATGTCCGCATTATCTGGAAAATGGAACGATGTGGCCGAGTTAAGAAGCAACATCTCAAAGAAAGGTTTGAAGAAGGTTCCAGCCTGCAGTTGGGTGGAAGGGAATGCAGAAGTCCCAGAGTGGGAATTATTGGAAACTTCTGGATGATAATGAGTATGTGAATAGCTTCCTATTTGTCTATGATAGATAGGAAAAATGAAGGAAAGATCTATAGCGACAAATCACTTCTGCTAGAATTTGTTAAATGTCTTCTCTGCAATTTTTGGGCTTGTAATGTATACAAGAGCTGAAATTTGTCGATGTAGAAACTATATAGATTGTCATACTGATCAAGTATGCAAGAAGTATCTTCGATACGTTGTACAAAATCAAATTAACATCATCGAATTACTTCATTATTTTCATGTCAGGGGTATTACAGTATCAAACAAATGAATAATTTCTTCAGGGCAACATGAGAAATGAAAGGCACATGAACCCTTCTGCACTGAGCTAATACTGGAGCTTTGATGAGCAATTGTTCCATTGTCAGGATCCTCATGCATTTTGAAGAAAGCAAGTAGCCTTTGATCATTACATGCTTCACTTTTTGCAGAAGGAATAGAAGTTAGGAATGAAGATACTGTTTTCACCTCACATGTACAAAGGTGACAATATGTATAGCTCATTGCAGCTCCTGAACCAATGCAGTCAGTCATATGCTAACAGAGTATGACACTTGTGTCTCATGGACTTGTTTTCTCAGTAGACAACTAGCTAATGTCATCAACTATTAAGGAATCATTGGCATCTCAGTGTTCCTGTCAATAATTACAGGTGCAAGTAGAAGCTCATTCAAGAAGAGCACATGTAGGTCGTTTACTATGTGATATAATTCACTACTTGGAATCCTCTAAATGAACAATATGTCGCAAAGATACCTTTCAGAGAGATAATTAGAGAGTTGGAACACTCACAAGCAACAGGAATGGTACTCCCTGAGACAAGGATCGACAAATAATAAAGAGTTACATGGATATAGTCAAAGATTGAAGATTGCAGGGATCAAAATCTACAGAGTGAGCAACACTCTTGCAGATCATATGTTTATAGATTCACAGTGAAAATTCTTGATGCATTGTGTTGTCCAAATGAGAGATAGAATTCCTGTTCTTTCTTTTTCCTTTGCCTGACGATAAAAGGATGGCCACTTCTCTGGGCAACACCACAACATGACGAAAGAAACTAAGGAAGAACAAAGCCATAGTATCATCCGAAATCCCACAAGAGTGTTACTGATCACAGGTGCAAATCCAAACTCACGTTCTCCTTCACGCCGGGCATCAGCTGGTAAGCAAATTGGCTTTTGGAAGATGCGGAAGAAGCACCACGATCGTTGCCATCTGAGATAATGCCTCCAATTCCCTCGATTCTTGGCTCTTGATCTCGTCTTGTCGTAGGTGAAGGCATCGGAGAGTCCCCATGGACTAACCCCACGCTCGCGCTGCCATGCACGACCCCAGGGGCCTTCCAGAGTCCCGGCAACGGGCTGCCGTTGATGGGTTGAGCCGCCGAACCAAGCCCGCCGTAGAAACAACCACCGAAGCTACCACTGGCGGCGCTAGTGGCGTGGCATGCAGGGTAGTGCGGCGTCGAAGGAGAGTCGACAGCGAAGTGGGCGGCTGCGGGTAACACCGGGCCGAATGGTTGGTGGTAATTAAAAAAGCCGTAGAGATGATGGCCGTCGATGGCTGCCGGACCGTGGTGGATCGCGGCCAGGGCGGCGGACTGGATGTGAACCCGCTTCGCGTGCTGGCGCTCGCGCTTGTGGGCGTTTTGGTGCCCGCCGAGCGCTTGCGATGTCGGAAATTGGCGATAGCAGTAGTGGCACTCGAACTTGCGTGCGCTCTCACCTCCGCCGTTGACGGTGGTGGTGTGGTCTTTTTCGGTGTTGTCCTCTTCGTTGGTGGGATGGTGAGGGACTTCGATGCCGAACAGGCGGATGCCGGAGGTGGAGGAGGAGGAGGAGGAGGAAGGCTTGGGGACCGGGCGGATGAACGGGAGCTGCGAGAAGGAGTCCACACTCATGAAGTCGCGTCCCTCGCTGCGCTCGTTCATCTTTGCCTTATCTTGTGGACTTCGCCAGTGCAGGCAACTGTCTCCTACGTAGAAAAGAGGCTGCGGAAGCAGATTATGCTCTTCTGCTCCTCTTCTTTCTCTCTCTCGTTCCCCTCCTGGCCTTAAGGCTCGAAGACTACTGTAATCAGGTTCTGTGTCTAAGGGAGAGGCAGAGAGATCGAGACAGAAGGAAAGGACGGCAAAAAAGAGTTTGGATAGACACCATGTAGAGCAACAGAAGAACGCGTCAGTGGAGAGGACATTCTCTCTTCACCGGACGCGCTGCAAGTGATGAAGAAGAAGAAGAGAGAGAGAGAGAGAGTAACGGAAATAGCTACTTTTTTCCCCAGACCTGCTGCGATCGCTTTGGTCCTGGTGTTTGGATGTTGAGACTGATCTGCTGGTCATCTACATCACCCTTTCTCTGCACGAGGTTGAGGAGGAGGGTAGACAATTGGGGCTGCAGGCTCCTTTTGTGGAGACGACTGACGATAGCTGCAGCAGCTGTTGCTGGTGCTGCTGGCGGTGGGTTTTGGCTCGCCAATTGACAACCAAGTACCGCTCCAACAACACCATCACATCACCACACATCCTCTGCCAATCTCTTCATCATTCATCTTTCATGCTATATATATGTATATATATACATATGTATATATATATATATATATCTCGTGAATGTGTAAACGGCAGTCAAGGCGGACGACAGGTACCCAACCAGCTCTCATGGTGGGGGTCTCTCTTTCTCTGTCTCTGCGTATGTGATACTCCATTAGCCGCTGGCTGCTGTGGAGCCTCTTGATAGCTGTTTCTTCTTTATATCTGGTGACTGGTGTTGCAGAGTATGGCTTTGGCAGTGGTCAAGACAGCATTTGGTGATTAATTGTGTGAACAACTCTGGTTAATTACCAAATAACCAACAATGGCCATAGTTATGGTGATGCAAAGGCCCAGCCTTGGCCTTCTCCGCAGAAATCTATCTGTGTTTGAAGATATACATGGAGATGATAGTATTGATATGAGTTTAATTCTCTCTCTGGCGTGCCAGCAGCAGAGGTCTGCTTTATTCATGCATGCCTGCTGGCCCATGCTGTAACTATTCCTTCTCCCAAGTCTTCATGCTCCCTCTTCACTGTTCTAATCTATCCTCGTCTGCACTGCCTTGGGTTTGTGAAATGGACGTGTAGCCCTGAAACCTCATTTGCCCCTCCAAGGGGACCTCTCGTAAAGAAGTCTCCTTCTGTGTCTCTCAAATACCCCACCACGTGAAAGTGACACTATGGCACATCCTAAGTTATGCCTTAATAACACAATACAACCACCACTGTTCATGGACCATTCCACCTCGTTCTATCTGTATGCTTCCGAACAACAAAAGATCTCATTTCTATCCATGACATGTCCGAAGAGGATGATCAACTCATGCAAGCAATTTTATCCCTCTTTATAGGATGTACATGTTTTGTCCCCCTCTTCGGATTGGATTGGATTGGATGGGAGAGTACGGACTAACCTGTCGCTGATCGCGTAAAAGCCGCCTTAATGCGCTCAAATGCACTCCATACATGTCCTTCCTCTAATAATAATTGCCTTGCACTTGGTCAAAACGTTCGTGACCACGGAGAACATTTCGAATCTAAAGTTAGATCATTACGTCTTCTTGCCTGTCCAGTTCTGTTTGAGGTCGTAGAGTACTCCATGATCATGTAATTTCAAGTGTTTGATGTAATGCGGTCTCCGTAGATTATGGCTGAAGAATACAGCAGCCATTCGCAGCATGGCACGACAGTGACATTTTCATCAATTATTGAACTCGACCCTTGAAGAAGAAGAAGAAGAAGAAGAAGAAGAAGAGGAAGATGATGGCTGCTGCATGTTATGCTCTCAAAGGGCTTTGGTGGTCTTCTCGAGGCGTGAAGTGACAGCACTGTGGGAAGGAAGATTTCAGCTGAGGACCACCGAAGGGTGGGATCTCAAAGCTGAACTCATCTTCAAAGTAATCGCAGTGCCTTCTGAAAGAAGCCAGAAAAGAAAAAGGAAGGGACGTGGGGTGCCTCCTTTCACATGTGATGTGGATGTCAGTGAGGGAGGGAGGGTGGATGGAGCCGCTCCTCTCATGGCTGGCTGGCTAGCTGATGGATCCTCGGCATTTCCTAGTTGGTCTTCCTCTGGTTCATGTAGCCATCACAGGGTAAGACATCTTGTGATCTGTGATAAGACTTTGATGAAACGTTTGGTTCACGATGACAAAGACAATGATGAAATCAAGTTTGGTTCACCCAATCACACCACCATTGCTTCAAGCGAAAGTTGCATTTTGTCAAACACAAAGAACCCAATGCGATAACATACAGCACGTCAGCTACCTTATCGTCGATGTCAATTCCTACTGCAAATAACTCTTAATCTGTGCCATCACAAATCAAGCAAAAAACACTTTTTGGCGAAAGAAAAGGGGAGGAATTGGCTCAGGTCCCATCATCACCATCATATACAGATAATTCACTGTCGAATTTCCATGTCAGTCATTGTAAGAAGAAAACCACATAAATCTACCACTTGATGGCCAAGTGTTCCATCGTTCTTCCACACATGATCTATTTGGATCATTCTTTTCCTTGGACTTAGTCCTCTACCATCACCACAAGTCTTTTCAGGAGAGGCGACGGTAATCGAACCCTGCGAGCCTTCAGTTTCTTCTCCACACCGTGATGTGCGACCTCATCTTACAGTCTGCTTCAAGGCCATCGATCAATCTTTGTCACCCATTATTTCCTGCACTCAGTACTTCCAAGGGAAGCAAGACGACGACTTCATGGATGAAAGCATGATGGTTCAGGTCGAGCTGCATCATTTATGACTTCGAGGGAGACCACATCGGTGCATCGCTAGGACACGAGCAGGACACGATGATCCTACGACAGCCACATATTCATATATATGTACGTATGGATGTGTTATATGCGTGACAGTAAAATTTAGATGGGTGAAGTACGAGACGAGTCGTCCGAAGGACAAAAAAGGAGGTCACATCGACTTACAGATGGAGAATTAAATTAGTGAGAGAAGAACAATTTTGCCTTTAATTCATTCATGTACTGTGTATCGGCAAACTAGGAAGCATTACTCCATCTCAACAACCTACCATTATGATGCTATTCGCTTGGCATATACGAAGAGCTCCATGAGCTCATTGAAGTAGAGGAATTCATGTGGTCGCAACCCAGTTCATCTTTAGCAATTTGATGCGGCAGAGGAGGACCACGAGCGTTGCAGACGACCACCAACTCGATCCCTGACACTGTGGAGGAACATGTTGGGTTTGAAGAGGGAAGAAGGAATGCGAGCCCAACTCAAACGCTTGAGGGCCGTGTGAAGAAGATTGGTGTTGACGTAGCTAATTGTTCGTGTTTGACTTGTTAAGGCCTGCTATGGCGCTATAGGAACAGCGTCCTTGTTATCACCGACCCATCTCCTCTTTCCTCACGAACGTTGACGTCGACTGATGCATTTATATTGCCGATTCGGCAGTGGCTTCTTAGACATCGAAGAGATCAGAGATTGCAGCCGTTGGTGGTGTCGCTGTTCCGCAGATGGGCGGCAATGGGACGGTGGTCGGCGTCAAACGAGTCGAAGCAGGGATGCCTTCTGAGGAGTGGGACGACTCCATGCCACTCCCCGGTGACATCGTCAAGGGGGTCGCGCCTGCCGACGACGACGACGACGAGGAAAGCCCCATTTTTGCCTCCCCCAAGAGCCGGTCGGAGATCAGCTCCGTTCTCGGTCGGCTGGGACGCCGGTCCGAGTCGGTCTGGATCAAGGTCCAGAGAGGCAGCAGCCTGCTGGACCTTCGCGCCCGTGTCGTCCCCTACCGCGGCCACAAGCTCTATCGCCGTTTCACCGTGATGGCCGCCCGTGACGACCGCCACGTCGCGGTGCTCGGCGATCTCACTCTGGAGCGGTGCGCGGAGCTTCAGGGTGAGCTAAACGAAGCCTTATCACTTCATGCACTTAGATCATGACTCATGCAGTACCGTTGCATGCACCCATGCAGAAATGAGCAGAACGGTGGTTAACGTGGATGGCATCGGTTTCGTCAGGAAGAAAAGCGTGAGCTACGACTGGAAGAAGAAGGTGGAAACCTACTTGCCGGACCGCCATTCCACTCTGATTAGCTCCATCCTCTTCATGCCTTTCCCCAGCGAGCGCAACTTCGAGGCCACCATGACGCGATCCATGGCTTGGTTCTCATCTACCGTCTCCTCCGGAGCTCCTCTCGTCTTCGTCAACATCCAAACAGAGCAAATCGTTAGCTCCTCTCTGTCTCTCTCTTTCTCTACTCTCTTGCAAGTAATAGATGGAGTGAACACCAAACATGCACTACATTCTAGTTCTTTTTCCATAATGTTTAACTCTAATGCTTGTCGAATCAATGCTTAAGCAAAAGGCTGCATCTTCTGACGGAGGCAATTGCCAGAGTTCTTGGAAAGAAATGAGTTGGCTCAAGCAGCAGAGTCCGAAGCATACCTCCACGGTCGATCTACTGCAAGCGATCCGACTCTGGTTCCTGCCGGGCGTCGCGGAGGTGCCGGTGGTGCTTGCACCCGAGGAAGGTGAGAGAAGATTCGGAATGGACATCAAGAGAACCGAGGAGGTACTAAATCTGACCTCATCAATCACGAGGCCGAACACCTGATGCACAACCGTTTGCGCAGGGCTTCATCTGCATCAGCTCCGTTTTCAAAGGCTCAGCAGCCGATCGCGCCGGGCTCCGCAACCTCTGCGGTGATGCCAGCAAGACAGGGCACCTGGTCATCGTCTCTCGACTGCAAGGGAAAGGAGTCCTCCCCACCGAGGTCTCCTCCGACGGGCGCATCGTGTGCTGCGATCACACGAGCATCAAAGAAAGGCTTGCGGCCGCCATCGAGGAGATGGAGGAGGTTCATCTCCACATCATGAGGTGGCCCGACCAAAGGCCTTCCTCGAACAATGTCGGTCCTGCAATACTTGTACCGCCTGCAGAGATCGATGGAAGCACACTTGGCCACAAGCTTGGCGCGAAATCTTCACATATTATCATGTAACTAACTCCAGAATAGCTCAGCGAAGCAGAGATGATTGGTGTTGACCTGTAAATGGGCCTAAGACTACATGACAAGGCCCAAATAAATTCCTTTGGAATGATGTGAATAAATTTGACTAAGCCAGTGGTCATGGTTAATCAATAGATAATAATTCCCAGGTTGGAACCTTGGAAGCTCATCAAATCATTCTCAGATTAAGATAACTGTTGCCCGGGGACAGAGACCACTTATAGCTACGGACACCTCAAAAAGCAGCCTGACGAATTAACACAAGGTTGATCATAGGAATGATCATACGAGATTCTCATGACCCATGCATTCATGTACCAACTCATCGACTGTGATGATTGAGAGCAGGCTGAACCTATAAAGAAATATTCCCATGAATGCATGAAAAGATAGATAGGGTTCGTAGGCTTAGAGGGACATGTACCGAGAAGCAGATATTATAGTGCATAAGCACATGCCCCTTTGTTTGGGTGCGGGCTTGTGGTCCATGCCAATTATAGATGTAACATAGCAGGCTGCGCTTGGCAATCTCTGTATCCATAGGCAAGGTATCGTTGGTGGGGCCCCGGAAATATGTGTGTGTGTCTGCCCCTGGGTCGCACTCGCCCAATCATTATTCCATGTAGTTCGATGTGTTGGATTCGTGGCGATGCACGCAGCCATGGGCACGGGTTGGTGGGTCTGGCGGCACACCGAATCCCATCATGGTCCCCATGGGTGCGAGCGACATCCATGAGTGGTCCACAATGTTCGCCCTTGGCGTCTCGATGTGCCCCGACCATCGACTGTCTTATATGGTAAAAACACCACGCATACATAGGTGAAATGTATGAAGCGGATTGTATTCTAGTAGATGCCGCCTCCATATGTACAATGATTGGATCTACATATACATATGGTTAATTTAGATTTTATTGGCTGACAGCTACAAAACCAAAATAAATCCTACAAAGAGGGATCAGATAACGATGACATAAACCAGAGATATATGTGATTAATCCCCACTTAACCCCCAGAAACCACTATGTAACAGTGAGAAGCCAAAACAGACCAACGGCAAACGCTCAAGCCCTCTTATCATAAAACACCACCTTATATTTGAAGGAAGCGTTGAGATTGCGAAAAGGAGCGATTCGTGTCGAGGTGGGTGGTTTCGTACACGGGAAGCTCATCACTGTGCACTGCTCCCCCTGCCATTCCGATAACCGTCAGATTCTCCAACTCGAACAGATCGGAGCTCGAATCGCTCGTCTCCTCTTCTTCCTCCTCCTCCATCCCTCTCAGGAGCTCCTCCACCCTCCTCCTCGCTTCCATTGCCGCCGACGATGGCCGCCGCGACGATGTCTCCGCTGCCCGATCCGCCTCGTAAACGCTCTTATGCCCGCACGGCCGCAGGTCCTCGTCGACGATCACGCTCACCGGATAGAACCTCACCGATCGCTTCCCCCCCTCCGCTGGAGGAGCTCGCTCCCTCGTCGACGGCTTCTTGACGAGGCACGATCGCGAGTGGGACGACGCCGTGGAGCAGGCGGAGTCGTCGCATCCGCTTGCGGTGGACGTCGGCCTTCTCGGGGTCCCCGACACCGCCGACAATAGAGAGCCGAGGAAGCCAGCAAGGCGAGCCCCAGGCGAAGCCGGCGCCGCCGACCTGGAACTTTTCATGTCCCGAAGCCTGCCGCGGATCGAGCTCGTCTTCTTCTTCTTTTTCTTTTCATCCTCCTCGTGGCGGTCGAACGACGCCGCTGCGGGCGGAGGAGGGGCCGAATGGATCGGCGGCCCGGCAGTCCGGATTGGCCTGAGCCGGGTCGCCGCCGAGTCGGGCTCAGAGGAGGAGGAGAAGCCGCCGTAGCTGGACTTTTCGGAGGAGCTAGAGGTGGAGATGGGCACAAACGGGCGGCGACGGGTTGCCGCCCTCTCGTCTGCCGCCCCTGCGGTTCGCCGGTCCACCGGGGGCCGCAGGAGCGGCGGAGGGCGCTTCGGGACGATGATAGGAGCGTGGGTGGCGCCACCGCCGTCGGACTCATCGATGGAGCGGTAGATAGCGTCGAGGAGGGTGGAGGAGAAGGAGGGATTCTGGTGACCGCTCCTATTTCTGCCCCTCGCCCACCTCTCTTCCATTACGGTAGATAGCGTCAAGAACACCAACACCTGTTCTTCCCTGGGGTCTTATCTCTATGTTCTCTTTTTACACGCGAGGAGCCGATGAAGAGACTAGAGAGAGAGGGAGGGGGTAAAGGCAAAGGCAAGACGAGTGGGAAGCGCCATTGATGAAGAGCAGAACAAAGCAAGACGAGAAAGGTGGGCGGTGGTGTGGCGATCACTCGCTCACAGCACGCCTTTTTTAGGACGATTCACGCGCGAGTACATGCTGACGTGGCAATTCTATCATTCGCTCTTTTGGTTCGGGGCCCGGTCGTCCACGTCCGTGTGATCCGTGATGAACGACCCTTTTCCTCCTCCAGATTTTTCCGTGCTCCTCGTCACGTAAGACAGGTACGTCGATGATCCTTCCCCCAACCTTAAAATGTAGTAGAGGAAACAAATCAATCTATTTCTGCATTGCCATATTATGGCAACACCAAAACGATTGGATTAATTAGACATATATGGTTGTGTTGCGTGGGATACGGGATCATAGAATCATTTTTCTGTTTTTAAAAGTGACATATATGGTTGGATTAATTGCTCACGATGCAGATGTATCCTGCACAGGAAAGCAACGAAGAGTCCATCATCAAAGTGGTCATACAACAGCGCAGGAGCAACCAACCGGGCTAAACAGTGGTGGACTCGCCTCCTCGTCATGTTGCACTCAAGATGTTTGTGCCGCGGTCGATCGTGCTCACACAGGTCAGTACAATGCCCGAAACCTTTTTCTTTCAGTGTTCGACCTGCATTTGGTCGGAGTCGCTTTTGGGGGCCGAAGGTGCCCCGTTATCGAGTGCCGTGGTGAACGATTTGACCACACGCTACCGCCGGGGGACCATTCACATCACCTGACCCGACAAAAACAATCAATATTAACTTTCCATCATCATTATTACTCGTAACCAAATATCCAATTTGGCGAACGCTTGACCACCTACTACTAAGCTTCGGTTGGAGGTGATTAAACTATGAGAACACGCATGGGGGCAAAAAAGGGGTCAGGGAATGAATGGTGGCAAGTGATGCACTAATGGTAGGCCGTGAGAGCGTAGGATGGTCCAGAGGAATTTTGAATTGGGGAAGAGGAAGTAAGTTTCTGAGGCAGCGGAGTGTGCTGTCTTCACCAGGTTTAGCGTGAGAGAGACATGAGATCGTGTGAGGCTAAAGCATGATCGGATATCGAACATTAGAAAAAAAAACCAGCAAAGTGGGCACTCTTTAGATGCCCTTTGTTTGCACATTGCTGTCGCAGATGAGTGCAGACGAGCGTGCAAATCATATATCTGGTGTACCCAAGTACTGCTTGCAGAGTTGTACCTCGTGTGTTTAAGCATACACTAATTGAGGCGACACTCCACCCTTAACTATAAGCAGACATAAGCAACTGCTTCCAGCTTTTCAGTGGGATTAGAGTACAGTACTACGCAAGTGGTGTCTATGGAGACTCCAAACTATCCAAGCTGGACTGGTACCTAAAGACTAACAATTGCTTGATGAACTCTTCTTTCTTAGCAGTCCGTCGTAGAAAGCAAAATAAAACCTTTAGAATCCATCAAATACATGGTCCCAGAAACTGAGCCTCGACACCATAACATGTAATGCATGGAGAGAGAGAGAGAGAGGGGAAGTGAAAAAGGACTCGTCTCTCAGTTTCCCCCTGGCTGTCTTGCTTTTCCTTCACCTTGAACTAAAAGCATACTGTTGTGGGAGCAGAGAGGGGAAGGCAGAGAGGGAAAAGGAGGGATGACAGAGAAGCAACAGAGAGGGGCAGGGAGACAAGAACAAAAGCTAGGCGATCCCGAAGAATGAGGGCAGAGGTAAAGGATGAAGGAGACAGCGCCTACCTTCTTTTCTCTTCTTCCATTTTGCTTTTGTCCTCCGTCCCAGGACGACCGCATATGCTTCGGACCCAATTCCCGATTACTTCAGATCCGAACCCGATTTGTTTCTAAACTGCAATTTCACTATGTTTAGTTTTGGGGGTCTTTTTTTTATTATACGAGTCGGATCACAATGTTGCATCGAGATCCGACCCGTTTCTGGATCCGCAAGAAAGCAAGGAGACGATGAGGATCCAACGGGAGAAGAAAAATAGTAACAGTGCACTGCATCCGCTGGTTCCCAACTTTAAAGGCCCTCTTTCCCTGACACCGCCTGGCACGCGTGAACTCAGCCCACGTGCATTTCTCTTTCTCTTTGCTTTGGTGTGATTTGGTCTCTCCTTGGGAGGAGGGTTGGGTACTTACGTCTCTGGTCCTCAGTTCCCCTCCCCCCCCCCCGTCACTCTCTCTCTCTCATATCTTCTTCCTTGTGTTCTGAACCTGAGAGGATTGATGGTTGAGATCACATCATGGAGGAATCCTCTCTCTCTCTCTCTCTCTCTCATCTTTACTGCTTCGGTGGCCTTTAATTCATGTGGGATTGACATGGATGGGAATCCCGTGAGGTCCTTTCAATGCCTCTCTCACTCTCTCTTTGTTTAGCTTTTAGCCTTTAGTGGTTGGCTTCTTTCTCCGTTCTCGGTGAGCATTGCTGTCGCTTTCCTGCATGGGGTTGGGTCGTCTTTTTAAGGTTGCACCTTCACCAGATCCGATGCAGCCAAAATTAATCTTGCAATGGTCCCTCCCCAGCCACTCATCCAAAGTTTATTTCTCGTTCTTTTTTTTTCCCTTCTTTGTTTTTTGCTTGGAATCGCCCCCACAACATAGGACGATGCAAGGCATTGCATATCGCATCACAATATGGCATGCGAGATGGCATTCTTTGTCACCCTATCGATTTAAATTTGCTACTTAGTTTTTATCCCTAGTAACACATAGAGAGAGAAAGAGAGAGTGAGAGAGAGAAAAGAGTGTAAACTAAAAAGGATATAAACCCATTCCTTATACATTCAACATTCCTAACAAGTTTTCCCAATTGACACTTGCTAATGAACAAAACTATATTCTTGTGTGCTATTTCCAAGTGACAAAATTAAGTGACAAATATGCCTCATCCGATAAAGCAAGACAAAGATGGAAAAAGAAGAAAAGACACATGAAATATAATAAAGGCGGAAATTGATGATGTCGACAACCAAACATTTAGAAGGGGACGAATTTCTGTTGCGAGAATCCTAAAAATTTTATTTGCACTAAATCAATTATCTCAAGACACTTGTAAAGGTCCTGATTGAAGTGCTGTAATTATGTGTAGTAAATGTTAGTAAAGCAACCACATTTTAAAGTTCATATGCATTTGTGTGAGCGGTAGCACTTCAGCAAACCTAAAATGTTCATGCCATATAAGTAGTTGAAAGAGTGATCAAATGCATGTTCATAAAAGTACCCCACATTTGATAGTAACCTTCTTTTCTTTTTCTGTTGGAAACCCGAAAGAAAAGTTTTTATGCAAGGATAGATCAACAGCTTCAAGAGACTTCAATGCTACTGATGCTGGTCGAATTCAAGGAGAGACAGAACACGGAAGCACAAAAGATAAGGGGACCATAAATCGCTTATAACAATTTTTTTTGCACAACTTTATTATTTCCCGATATCGATCATAAATTGTTTTTGTTTTCATGACGGACACCCTCCTCGTTATTATTTTTGTTTGCCCCAAATGTCCATAGTCAATTATTGAGACAATCCGACATAGTCCGACTCTAAATCTTGTGCACAATATGAAACAACCAACAACAAACAACGATCTAACAAGCGATCACTAACGAGGAAAACCATCAAGGATGAGAGGAATCCGTGTGCTCTCTCTAATCGTTAGAGCAACTCAAGCAGTCTATCGACAACCAATGGGTTTGGAGTTAGGACTAAGTGCTCAACTCTCATAGCCAATTCTTTTCTTAAAGTTATGCATCTACTTTGTCGACTTCTCTTATTAAGTTTTATTGTAAAACAAAGTTTTACATTAGAGACATGACATAATTATTAGTATGATTAGGAGCTCGAACGACACTGGATCTTTCATATTTTCATAGGTTGATGTATCACAAACTTAGTTGATTTTACTTAAGTCAATCTCCCTAAAACCTCTTATGATTATTTAATGACATACAGAAGAGAATATATATTAGAAGAAGTATTTAACTCGGGGTCCATAAGTAGTTCTTTTAACAAATACTTAATATGCAATGCGAATTACAAATATAGACTTTACAAGTTCTGAACGGTTATGCAATAAAGGATCTAGGGTGGTCTATCACAATCAAAGTCTCCATACGTATCCATATGATACTATTATGAAATAAGATAACAAATCAATCTCAGACATTACCCTAAAAGGCAAATCCAACCATGTGCCATCTGGGTAGCTCTTGGGTGCTATGTTGGGTAACACTTCGCATCACTCTACGGAGCTGAAAAACCCCCAAAATAACTGCTTGGATAGCTTATTTTTGGGTAGTTTTGCCTCTATGTGATAACTATACATAATTTACATTTACAAACCTAAAAAGACCATAAAATCAAACCAAAATCAAACTGCCAAACTTACTACAAGCTCTTATATGCTATATAAAGCATGAACAAAATTAAAAGATATGGACAAACACGAGCATTATAACGAACACTCTATCTACAGCTTTGTTTGTGATATTCGTCCCAACTTATTCCTTCGTCGTCATCATCGGAGCCTTTGCAGACATTGCATCTCCTCACTTTTGCTGAATCTTTAATATTATGTCTAGTTACAATATGCTTCTTGGCTCTTAGTTATCCACCATTATTATTGTTGAATAGTCAAAATTTGATCTGTTACGTTGTTTCAACTCGTCAATGACTCTGACTTTGGTGTGGGGTCAGTTTAGTTATACTAATCTTTGTTAGTTCCTATGGATCCTTTAGATGAAAGAAAAGACATTGTTGCGCCGGTCTTTTAAACGTCTCACGTTTCTTGTATTTGGTGAATGCTTGTAGGAGTTTTAATGAGCATCGGCCCGTAGACTTTAAAGTTTTTAAAGTCTTTCCTTCGTAAAATTTGCCCATCAATTTCTCTTCCACTTAGTTGTCACCTCTAGGAATGTTTACATCACTTTCGCTTTCGATTGACATTCTATTGAGATATGAAGCGAACAATAAGTACTCAGTAGAACCGATGTGAGAATTTGATAACTATTGTCTTCTACTTTCTTCGAGGGGTCTTTAAACATATCTAGAGCTCCTCTCTTATATAAATAAGAGAACTAGGGTACTTGATTTTGTCCATTCTCTTAAGAGTTGAGAAGACAAAGGTTACTCCAATTCGCTTGCCTCCTCGAGGGTTGTACTCCATGCATCGAGCTGGTTATTAGCATTCGTCTACTTTTCTCACACTTTCGAAGCACCCAAAGTGTTTACACTCTTTGCGTTAAGTTAGCTACTATGATTTGCTTTCTTACTGTCATCAAACTTCTGGAATGCAAAAAGTATTGCTTGAAAAGAGCAAAATTTCACTCGACTTATAGCAAGTCTATAATAGTTTTGGTTGCCTTTGAGATTGAACCATTTTCTCCATCATCTCTCTTGTCTACTCCTCTGAGTAGAAAAGGTACAATATCGCATACTGCTTGTTAGGATCATAATGACACTAAGGAGGGGGGAAGGGGGATTTGAATGAGTGCAATAACATTTTTAATCGATTTTAAAATTCAATCGATAAATCAATAAATTTTGTAAACTCAATCGATAAAGTTTAAGTTGCAAGTAAAAAGAGACAAATCAGTTTATAGTGGTTCGGTCTTCCCGACTTGCGTTTACTCCTTATTTCTCTTCCCTCGAAATCATCGACTTTCAATGTCGATCTTCTTTCCAACGTGCGAATATCAACTACTCTTGTTACAATTTTATCTTTTTTTAGGCTAAGGAGATAATCTTTACACTTTCTTTTTACATAAGATCTCTCACATCCTACAATTTAAAATTATAACAAATTCAAGAAGAGGAGAGATTAAAGCTATGCTTAAAATGAAAGTTACGATACTTTTTTTTCTCAAAAATAGATACTCGATCAATCAAGCCTAAGTGGAGTATTTATATGTCTAAAAGGCTTCAAGAATTGAGTCAAAAATTTAAATCTCCGAAATTTTGAGGTACAAGTGGTACTATCGTCACAACGAGCGGCTCTAGCGGTATTATCGCTAACCTAGGTAGTACTACTGTCGATATATGCGGTACCACCATTATAACCGTGAAAAAAGTATAAATAGTGCTTTTCGACTAACTCAGGTGGTACCACTGCTCATGTCTGATTTAGACCATTGATTTAGTCTTCTGACATGCCCAATTTGGCCTTGGTTCAAGTCCAATAGTTTTCTTAATAAGTTGGCATGATTTTGACCCAATACTAACTAAAATTGACCTATAATGACCTTGATCAGGACTACGATGAATCAACCACGCATACGATACATTAACGAAGCTTTTGACACATTACGTTGTATGTTATTCTTGCATATAGTATGTTCTTCTGACATTTCGTTCGAACCTTCGACACATCATCCTTTTCTTCAACATATCGCTCATTCCATTGGTATGTCGACTTTCCCACGACATCTAATCTTTTAGCATAATATCTTATCCTTCCAGCACGATGCTCGAATCTATAGCACGAAGTCCAATCTCCAATACATCGACTAGTTCTTTAGCTCGACGTCTAATTTTCGGCACAATAATTTTTCAATGCAACATCCGACTCTTTTGCTCGATAGTTGACCCTTTGATGATCCAAGTTCGTGATCAAAATATTTTCGACAAAACTTATCTCAAAAACATATTTAGTCTAATAATAATTTCATCATCAAAAAATTGAGATTCAACACTGCCTACTTCGTTCCTTAGTTGAGCACTCATGCATTGATCTGAAGTCCCTCACTTTCAGTTATTTTGATAAGAAGCCCGTTGACACTGACCTGACGAAGTTCTTCGGCCTCTGCCCATCAGCCTTGATTTGGTACTTGAAGTTTGCCTCTACATTCTCCACCTCCTCGGCCTTTTTCATAACCAAGTGCTCTCGCTCCATAAGAGCAAGGGATCGATAACTCCACATCAAGTTCTGTCTCTACTGTACCATGGTGCTATTAAGCCCATGACTCTACTATCCATCATCTTGCATCTGTGTCCCATTTTTCACGATTAGTAGATCCATTTCTACGACACTATGTCACTCATATGAGTCCACCTTCATTTTAATCGACACTTGGTTTTTGGTAGATAGGTCCCTCTAGACCCTTCGTCACTTTCTCATCCCTTTCGATCACCTATTTCAGCATCTCTATGTTCTCCGAGCAGTTATTCCCATGCATGACATCCGCCATCATTTTGCGGGGCTTGCATTGATTCTATTATCTTTTATTTCCTTAATAATAATATTCAAGACATCTAACTTGTCTACTCTTTTAAATAAATATGAGCTATGAAGTAATTCAACTCTGATCAAATCTTTTATATACTATAAAAAATATGAACAAAAAGAAAAACATAAAGATATATGTGCATTGTATGATGCACTCCATTTGTAATTTCGTTTGTGATAGAAGGTTATCGATGGAGCACCGGATGAAAGAAAAGAAACTCATCTACAGCTTTTCCAACATTGTCCCCCATACAGGAAGTTCAATTTTCGAGATAAACCGTAAGTCTTACAGCGAGGAGAGTGGCCCGGTGGCATCATCAAAGGTTTTCTATTTATAAAGTTGAGATCCCTAATCATTTACTATTACAAAAACATTTTTTAAAAAAGCATTAATAATTCAAAAATATCTTCTATTGTGATTTATGATGACATGATGGAATTGACAACTCGTTGTTTTACTTGGAATTCATGTTGTGATTTGTGATGATGTGATAGATCAACCCAATTTATTGTTTCCAACGGGTTGGCATCTACATATCAAGTCATGATAGGATGATGGCAAAAAATCTATGTAATATATATATATATATATATATATATATATATATATATATATATATATATAT